AATGCCCCTCGTGCATTCAGCGCACAAACCAATCAATCTGTTGAAACGAATTATTGATGACTACCACCATCGCTACTGCCACTCAAACCAAGTCCCATGTTGCATTTCCGAAGAGCATTAAAAGTAATTTAAAAAAAAAAGAATCTTTGCTGCTTTTTGAAGTAATAATAATGCATTTTTACACGTTCAAACATATTATAATCAAATGCAACTAGTAACTGATTACGGACTCTTCAAGCCGGGCTCAGAATTGGCATATCCAAAATTAGTGATAAAAATTTCAATTGCTTTAAACAATCGCAAAAATTGACTTCTATATTGTTGTAAGGACTTGGTTTGAATATGCCAATAAAGCCACCTCAACAATATGTATAAAAGTTATTCGTAGACAGATATTCATTTTAAATGGGTTTTTTTTTGCATTTTATATTTCTAATATTTTTGATACTGCTTTGTTTTTAAATAATTTAGCTGCCAAAAATCCCAATTATTTATGCTGAGCCTGAGATTTCTTCTTCTTTAAATTGTAAAAGCCATTAGGTTTCTTTAAATGCCCTGAAATTCTGAAGTAACTGATATGATAACTTAAAAGCTTGAATCTAAATTTTCTAGTCTGAATCCCATTTTTTTATTATTATTTTTTCTACCCAGAACAATCCTGGAACAATCAATATAGATTTTCCATTTAAGCATTGAATTATATCATTCATTTCGGATTATTTGATGAGATCCAAATTCATTTTAAAATAACATCCTCCAGGCACAATCGGCTCATTGTCATTCTATTTTGGTCGGCGACTTTAGAGCAGAATCAAATTTTCCTCTCGACGCTATCTAAATGAGCATCGGTGCCGAGATAATAAGCCGCAAACCATTTTAGCCGCGACATGGAATAGCTTTTCCCAATATCAAATTAAGCAAAGAGCCGCCTTCTGTATAAAGCCGCCGACCACAGGAATTCAACGAAATTCTGCTGGCCAAGCGATAATAATTGCTGTCGGCACGATAATTGAGAATTCCGCCCTTAACCAACACGAAATAAAACTCGTCTATGGTCTACGATTAACAAAACTTCCGCCCTTTAAGTAAGTGAATTTGTCTTGTGGCTCGAGGGTAAAAAGGGTTGGCTGTTTTAATGTTGGGCAGCTGTTTAGCAGATTTTATTTTTCGTGCGGTGGCATGTAATGTGTTGTATTATCTACCCGCTTGTCTGATGATTAAATCTGTAATTTGATAAACAAAGGAATTTTCTGCTGCACTAAAGTGCGAGCAAGCGGTGAATTTTAATAATATTAATCTGCCGCTCTTCTCGAGCGCGTTGGATGAGCTTTCATCAAAGTGAAAAAACATTACCTCGCTCGCTTTTTCCAATTTATGTCAAATTCGCTTTTTCTAAATTGACTTTTTTTAATTTATCTCAGTTTGGCTTTTTCTTATTTATCTTAAATTAGCCAAATCTTTTTTAACTTAATTTAGATTTATCAGATTTATTTCAAATAAGATTTTTCTGATTTACCTTAAATCAGCTTATTCTTTTTTAACTTAAATCTACTTTTTGAGATTTATTTCAAATTTGCTATTTCTGATTTAAGGTGAATTGAATTTTTCTAATTCATCTCAAATAATCTATTTCCGATTTCACATTAATTTTCTATTCAAATACAGCTCAATTATTATTGAATCATGTTTCTTTATTCAAAATATCCAAATTCTAATAAAAAAAATTAAATTATTTGCATCACATTTCTTCTGTGAATTACATTTTGATTTTAATTTAAAATGTCTCTCAAATTATTCCAATAATTAATTGATAATTCAAGGCTTTACACATTGTCATTAAAAATAACAAATAAATAACAAATAAAGATTGAACTTTTCAACTCTAATAATCCAGACGACCAGACCTCTCTTTTCCCCCCAAAAAAATTACTGTGAACGCTTTCGATTTGTAAAATTACGGACTAATTTCAAGCGTACGGTTTAACTTGAGATGACCAGACCTTCTTTTTCCCACACATAAAACTATACAAATTTACGATAAAAAAATTTAGCAAGCATTTTCGTTTTGTAAATTGAGATCTAAATTTTAAGCTTTCCTGTTCCATAAGAATTTTTACACAAGTTCGTAAATTATAAAACAACATAGCTGGCGAACTATTTTTTTATTTTGGTGGCATGTAATGTGTCGTATTATCTACCCGCTTGTCTGATGATTAAATTTGTAATTTGATAAACAAAGAGGCCAGGAATTTTCTGCTGCACTAAAGTGCGAGCGAGCGGTGAATTTTAATAATATTATATAATCTGCCGCTCTTCTCGAGCGCGTTGGATGAGCTTTCATCAAAGTGAAAAAGCATTATCTCGCTCCCTATACCTTTGAGCCACGCAACCATGCGCACGCCGAAACCAAGCCGGAAAACCGTCGTTAACTTTGGAAATTAATTTTCCCGCACACACCTTTTTCGTCAACCGAATGAGGCGTTTTAACGAGCAGAAAGATGGAAAGGAGAGACAAGTCGTAGCGGTAAAATTGATTTTACGGCATTAATTTATAGATTTATGTAAATCTCCAGTGACTTAGAAATATGGTGGTACTTTATCGCGGTTGTTCAATTAGAATCTGACAGATAAGGCTGCATTTTAACTTAAAAACATTAAAAAGATATGGTTTTAATGAGATAATATTATGGTATTTTAAATTCATTCTAAATAGTTTATATTGATAAGGGAAACCTCAATCAATATAATCTAAGTGGTCTAAAATATTTAAATTCATATTAATTAAATGAAATTCATTTATTTAACGTGCGAGATGTAAAAATTAAAACTGCAATATTTCTTCAGATGTGTGTTTTATATTTTTTTTGCTCATGGTTTTAAAAATTGATAGCACAGTTTAATTAGTCTCCAATTTAGAATCTGCGGAAATTTTGCATCTTGTCACACATTGTCACAATTGAATCAGAAATGAAGCCATAACAAGGCAAAAAAAAAAGTGTAAGGCAATTTAATGTGAATAACCTAGAATTTAATTTAATTAAACGCTCGAATCGATGGAAATGAAGAGATCGGGCTTTTCCTCGTTGCAGAAAAATTGTTTTTATTCAAAAACAAATGGCTCTACCAGTTTCAACCTATTTTGGTTGGTACTTGAATTTGTTAGTTTTAAGATTTTAATTTTTAATTTAAAATGTGGTGTTTTTTCAATTTGCTGAATTTTTGTATTTTTTCTTACTCATGAAATAGGGTCGCAGACCGTGACCGAAACTGGTAGAGCCATTTGTTTTTGAATAAAAACAATTTTTCTGCAACGAGGAAAAGCCCGATCTCTTCATTTCCATGATCATCTCCTCGAGTGTCAACTTCTTCAAACAAGCTCGAATCGATATTTCTAATTCTGGAATTTACTGCAAATTGCATGGATGTTGGCAAATATATTAAATAATTATGAGCAGCGACTATTTTTGTCGGTGCGTTGATTTGTCACTCCAATTTCGTTGACACCATTTCGTTTATTTTTAACAACAAATTTCAATTAAAAGTATTATTGGCACTCATGAGAGTTTTATAATAATTCATTGAACATTTCACTGAATTTTTTACTAATTTCTGTCTAAGATTTCAATATCATAATAAAATTCATATCAAATTTAGTTACTTTCTGTTTTGAAGAAAAAAAAACATCATTGAAGCTGAAAATCCAATTCAAATACTCAACTATTAGAAAAAAAGAACTTTATTTCTCATTCCTGAATGAAATGGAACAACTTGTGACATTTAAAGTCTAAATTACAATGTTTTTAACATTCTAACGCATAATATAAAAATAACCATTTATCACATGATGCGGTGGCACTTGAGCTGCGAATGACATTGGTCACATGCAAATCAGCGCCTGGTTGTGTCGACATTTATTCAAATTTCATGTCCCGGCCGCGCGCGCACCGCCAATTAAGGCGATAAAACGCGCAAGACAAGGCGGAAATGCAAATGCTAATGTTCACATAATCTCATCGGGCGAGGCGGAAAAATTTCAAAAAATTCCGCGCTACCCATAAAATTATAATTGCAAATTGCATCGCTGCGGCGTTCTTATTCGCGAGTATCAATTTGCTGCCGCGCGCGGGTTTTATGTTCTGCGGCGAGATAAAAAACTTTGCTGCAAGCGAAACGACCTGAACAGCCTCACAAACCGAGATTTTGATGCAAATGTGAGCGAAAGGCAGCACTAATTGTCTAGAATTTGGACGAGAGAGCCTTAATTGAAAAATTAGCTTATAATCTCAAAATGTTAAAACTCTCAAGCGGAAACTGCGGCTTTTTAATCACAAAAATGGCACATTTTCCAGGAAGAGTTGTGTTAATTTCTAAAGCTCTATCTTCTTTATGCTGAAAAAATTCAGGAGCACTATCGCTGAAGGTCGTTTTTCTCACACTTTCTGGCATGGGAGCATAAAAAATTGAAGAGACACGCTACTAACGTGGTTTCTAATTCATCTCAAATTATCTTTTTCTGATTTGACATGAATTTGTTTTTTGAAATGAAACTTTTAATTTAATTTATCTTAATTAAGCTTTATCTAATTTATTTTAAATCAGCTTTTTCTTTTTTAACTTAATTTAGCTTTGTCAGATTTATTTTAAATTTGCTTTATTTGATTTAAAGTAAATCAACTTTTTTTTAATTCACCTTAAATTGTCTATTTCAGATTTAACATAAATTGATTTTATTCTGTCCTACCCGGCTCGAAATGTTATCGAGATTATTTTCCAATTTTTAATGATTTTAACCAAAATGTACTTACAAAAATTATCTATCTCTGTGATACAAATTTTCATGGAAGAGTTTTGTTAATTTCTAAAGCTCTATCTTCTTTATGCTGAAACAATTCAGGAGCACTATCGCGGAGTGTCGTTTTTTTCTCGCCCTTTTGAGGCAGTAAAATTTAAATCCCACCCCCGAAACGCGGCCAGCCGCTGCTCACAGTTTGTAGACTTACCTTGTGGCGAGTTTCACGCTTTTCCTCCGAATTTCCGCATATTGACGACTTGAGCATCGTCAAAATCACTAGAAATAGTACTTCAAAAACTGGAAGCATGGGTTTTAATAAGATTTGCAAAAAAATTTCCATGAAAAAATGGCATAAACACTCAACAGATGTTTTTTGTTGACGAAAACACCCTCCCCGCCGCATCTGTGGCCACCACATGATTTGACTTTTCCCACCAGAAATTAAAGATGATTGATGATTGCTAAAAGTCACGTGATTGGTCAACCAATAGCGTTCATTGTTTACTAAATCGGTGATAAATCACGCCAAATCATGAAAAACGCGTTTCTCATGTCACACAGAGCAATTTTAACGCTATTTTCTCTCAATATACTTTTGGAAACGTCTTGAAAGTGATTTTTAAGTAAACCTTAAGTGTTGTGGAATGATTTTGTGCCATGAAAAGTCGGCGGAAATCGACAATAGAATCACCCGGAATCACCAAAACTTGATTCACCGGACCAGGGCCTCGGAGCTGGCGGCAGGAAAAGGTGAGATTTTAGCACTTTCACGGTTGACAATTTGATTATTTTGATTATTATTGGAATTTATGGATTTCCTGCCTGCTTCATGGAAATTTTCTATTTTCTTTTGAAGTTTTTGCCAAGGTGCACTAATACAAAACTTTCAGTCATCTGCTAAACCAAATTTGTACAAATGCACTGAAATTTTGTATGGCTCGTAAGAAACTGTTGTGATTTTTGCGTGATCAATCCTCTTTTTCCATTAATTTAAAGTTGTAGAAAGAATGCGAAGGCGAAATAACAATGCTTAGTTAAATAAGGGATGGCCCACACTTATTCTCATTTGTGATGAAATAAAATACGTGAAATGCACCTTTAGGAAATGTGTGAAATGGTAAATTACTTACTTTAAATTATTGAAACTTATTGTATCAATAATATGAAATTTTTATATTTTTGTGTGAATTTAAATAGGAAAAAAAACGATTCAAAACGGGAATTAATTAATTAGTAACTAAGACTAATCGCGTTTCCATAGTGCCAGCCCCTTCATTGCGCAGCCACTTTGCCCATTGCTGTAGAAAATCGCAAGCCACGATCAGCTTTCGGGGCGCAAAATATCACGCTCTGATTTTGCGTTGGCTTGATTAAGCAACCGCTGCTCCCTAAGATTTGATATTTTTGCTGTGTTAAAACGGGAAAAATATTCAGGTGATATTGAGACATTTCCTGGCCAAGTAACTAATTAATTTATATTTTTAAAAAGAAATATTAATTAAAATTTAATACCACATCAGCATTTAAGAACTATACAAGACTTTGAACAAAATTTATCTAACAATTCAACCTTTTGCCTAAATATGTAAGAAATTCACTTGAATAATATTAATATGAACTTCCCCTATATATTCGTTTAAGGCAGATCAACATTAATAACGATTGTTTCTTCTGTCGGAGAGAAAATAAATTGGGGAAGATTGCAGTCAAATCTGATTTGCAAAGGGAAGTTAATAGAAAAACAAAATTCGCAGCCCAACTAACCCTCAGGAGAGGATTTTGAAGATCTCGCCCCTCGTACGAGGAAAATCATCTCTACCATAAATTTCCTTTTCGCCAAGTTGCTCAAAATGATAACGCCGACTTAAGCCCGCACATGTAGTTCCGGCAGCTCTTTGGGTATCAATTTTGCGTTCGGGGGGTTGCTGCACCCCGATCGCTCGTTGGTTTTTCCTGGCGTGAAGAGGGCGCTGCTGGCGGCGCCAGAAGTGGTGCTCGGCGAGTGGCGAGTGGGGCAGTCAGTGCTGGTGCAGCCGCCACGCAACCCGCACCCTTCCTTCGTCAGAAGCCGAGTGAGGAACTCGAGAAGCGCTCGCCGAGCACTTTCTCTTTCATTTCATGCCGACGATGTGCTGACTTTTCCCGAAAAATGCGGTTCGCCGAGTTGGTGCTGCTGGCGGCGACAATGCTCGCGCTCGGCGGCGAGGCGCTGTCCGACGGCGTCGCCGTCCAGCTCAGACACGAAAAGTCCAAGAAGATCCACCAGCAGCTCAGCAGGCACCACAAAATTCAACCCCCGGTGGACCTCGTCGCGCCTAACGTGACGTCCAGCAAGAAGCGCCGGTCGCAAAACTCCAAGGTGATGCCGCAGTTGGTCGCCGAGGTCGTCAAGAGTTCGAACGGGGCGCCCAATTTGGAGAACAAACTGCTCGCCTACGAGAGTGTCGACGCGGAAAACAACACAGCCGCCGAGCCGAAGAGGACCACCGGACGAAAGACCTTTGATATCGTGACCAGATTTCTCAGGATTGTTGAGACGCAACACCTTCTTGGCGACAATTGCACCGCTGGCACTGATCTCAACCTTGGGGAAGGGGTTGTCGACAGGTGTGTTAAATTAATTTGACTTAAAAAAATCAAAATTGTAAAATAAGCTCAAAATAATAATTCAATATTCACAAGGAGTCAATGGATTTAACAAAAAAAAATGATACAAAAAATTATAGTAAATAAGAATTTAAACAGAAACAAAAAGATTTAATTATTCATGTTTGTCAAAAAGTATGAAATTTTTTGTAAGATTTCAACGTTCAAGTGAGTTTATTGTAAAAGTAGTACAATTTATTTATTTGTTTGTAAGACTGTTCTTTCTTGTAATTAACATAAAATTTCCCTGATTAAGAATAATTTGTTGATGTTAAAAGTAAATGATTTAAATTTCAAATTTGACCATGTAAGAAAGATTTAATTCTAATTCAAAATAATTTTGTAATATTCCAACATTATGAAGCTAAAATGCTCTGCAGGTAACTGCTTAAAAGAAGTTAATTCTTTACAAAAGATTTTCATCTTGCTTTTTAAAGCATCTACTTTATGAGTACTTAACACGTAATGTAAGTTAAAGTTGATTATACAGTAATCTAATTTAAAATCAACAGGAACCAACAGTTGGAAACAAAGTCCACCCTTTTTTCAGTCTTTTATCTTGGCTAAATAAATCACATGCGTTTATTTTATGTTCTAAAATTCAACCAACTCCTTGAACTATACAATATTTTTCAACTTAATTTAGCTTTATCAGATTTATTTAAAGTAAATAGACTTTTTCTAATTCATCTCAAATTGTCTATTTCTGATTTACCATGAATCTGTTTAATGAAACTTTTAATTTAATATTTAATTTATCATAATTAAGCTTTATCTAATTTATTTTAAATCAGCTTTTTCTTTTTTAACCTAATTTAGCTTTATCAGATTTATTTTAAATTCGCTTTATTTGATTTAAAGTAAAACGACTTTTTCTAATTCATCTCAAATTGTCTATTTCAGATTTAACATAAATTTGCTTTTATTCTGTCCTACCCGGATCGAAATGTTATCGAGATTATTTTCCAATTTTTACTGATTTTAAACCAGAATTACTTACAAAAATCAACAATTCCTGTGTTACTAATCTGGCATGGGAGCATAAAAAATTGCGCTACCAACGTGGTTTCTAATTCATCTCAAATTATCTATTTCCAATTTATCCTAATTAAGCTTTTTCTAATTTATTTTAAATCAGCTTTTATTTTTTTAACCTAATTTAGCTTTATCAGAATTATTTTAAATTCGCTTTTTCTGATTTGAGGTAGATTTACTTTTTCTAATTTATCTCAAATGATCTTTTTCCAATTTAACATAAATTTGCTTTCATAATGTTTTTTTTCCCCAGATCGAGTTGTTATCAAGATTATTCTCCACTTTTCTCTGTGTTGCAAATCTGGAATGGGAGCATAAAAAATGAAGAGACGCGCTACCAACGTGGTTTCTAATTCATTTAATTGATAATTTGTTATCAATTTCCTATTTAGCATTAATTTGCTTTTCAAATTTGGCTTAATTAGGAAATATTTAATTTGTCTCAATTCAGCTTTTTCTAATTTATTTTAAATCAGCTTATTATTTTTCAACTTAATTTAGCTTTATCAGATTTATTTCAAATTTGCTTTTTCTGATTTAAGGTACATTTACTTTTTCTAATTCATCTCAAATGATCTATTTCCAATTTAACATAATTTTGCTTTTATTCTGTTTTTCCCAGATCGAGTTGTTATCAAGATTATTTTCCAATTTTAACTGATTTTAACCAATTTGCTTTGAAAAAATCATTCATCTCTGTGTTGCAAATCTGGCACGGCAGTATACAAAATTGATGAGACGCTACCAACGTGGTAAACGTACAAATTATACGTAAAATTATATATTTAATAATAAAGTGAAAGCTTTATTGAACGCCATTCAATTCAAAAGAAAAGAAAACAAACCTAAAGTTGAAAATATAAGTCGCTTCACTCTTATCTCTCGACTCTCGCTCTCGGCTAATTAAGTCATACACTTTTAATTTATATACTGATTCAACCAACTCCTTGTACTACAATATAGATCAAATTACTAAGTTTAGCAATAAAAGTTAAGAGTTGAATTAAACAAGAGGAATTAGAGAGTATTCCCATGAGTTGAGCGTGTGCAGTCTCCGGCAATCAGCTTCTCCTTCAAGTTGGTGGGCAAATTGAAGCCGAGAGTGCCGCTGCAATTTTCATTGCTATACCAGGGAACGTAGATTACCTGACGTCGCGAGTTCTGCAAACTCATAATTTAATTCACGTACATAGGAAGTCTTTTTCAAATACGACTTCACAGAAAGTAAGGAGAGCCTCAATGGGTTTATTATTAGATTTCGGAACTTGAGTGCGTTGCTGTTTTATGAGTTTTGGAAAACTTTTGGGATGCTGGAAAGAGATCTTGATCAGTGATAACGAAACTAAGTTTGTTACAAAGTCGCCCGCTGATATGAAGGCTGATAGGAACATTTTAATGGGAAAGTTTAGAAAAATTAAACGGATAAAAAGGATAAGAGATATTTAGTTATTGATGGTAAAAACTTATTTAAACCATTTCAATATCTAGATTTTCGAATTTATTTATGATCGTAGAATATCTTTAATAGTTGATTTTCAGGAAGAAAATTTTATAGATTAACTCCCGTCTTGTAAAATACGATCATGTTTAAGAAACTTTGAAAATAAAATATTTCTAATTGAAGAAAATAATTTATTAATTTGTCTCTTTACATCGACTATGAAAATTGTATATATATATGTTGAGGTTAATTTAATTTATTTCTCTTAAAAGAATTTATTTTAAAGTTTTTTTTAACCGTGGCAAATATAATTAAAAGTCTGTCATAATAAACACGTTTTAAAAATCCCGCAACTCTGACACACAGAACAGGAAGTAATGGTTTTCCTGTGTCAAAAACCCAACGAGGAAACCTGAATTTAATTGAAATTGACCACTTCTATTTGTGTAGATTAATTAAATCGATACAGCCGCAAATCAATAAATTTTACAAATTAATACTAATATTAAAAATTTTAACATCTATTTAAAAAAAATTTAACTTGAATGGTGTAAATAATAATGTTTCAGATACGCGCAGGAGCGGTTCAGGGTGGAGGCGGAAGTGGCCGTGAACCGCGCCAACACCCTGACCCGGTTGTGGAAATACGCCGGGCGCCAGGTGATGGAGAGCGAGTACCTTCTGCACGCGGGCGTCCGCGCCATGGTGGACTTCGACAGTGACATTTTCGCGGCGGGCAATTGCTACGACCAGAATCAGTACAAGGACTACTGGTTGTTTTGTCCGTACGCGTACCGCCTGCCCGAGGGGCCCATCCTGGCCAAGGACCTGGCCGTCGAGTACAAGTACCTGAGCAACAGCTCCGAGTGGTTCTACATCGCGCGCAAGAACGCCGATCGCGTCATCGCGGCCGACAAGCAGTTCAGCAAAGGTAGGAGAAAAAACCATTTCCTTTTATCTGATTTTATTTGACTTTTTCCCATTTATGCCGCATCGATTCCGCATAAGTAAAAGCTGCACACGTATCTATTTTTCTTAAAAGCGTTTTTACGAGTTTTGTTGTGTTCCATATTTTACGGCCGGGATTCGAATCGACTTTTACTGCTAGCTAAAGGTTTGCCCTGCTGCAAAGAATGTTTGATTTATTGTTGTGGGCTTTTTCCATCAGGATCGCCCTTGACCCACATCAACGCTTTTAATTAACTTCTTTGTTGTTTGGAGCCGAGCCAGAAGTCATTTTAGAGGTGTTGGGCTGGAAAAAATAAAAATTTACGTGCCTGTAAACTGCCTCTAATAATATTTTCTGATCGTCGAGAACGAGATGTGGAAGCCAAAGTAGGCAACTTGCTCAACACCTATGCCGAGCGTAATGCATAACCAAATTTAATTTTCTCTACAAAGATAAACTGATCATAAAAATTCATAGAATCAGGCAAATTACACATCAGTTTCTTTACACACAAATTTTAAATTTTAAAAATTTCAAAGTGTGATTTTGTTTTTATCTTGAAGAATGAATTACATATTGAAATTAAAAAACTTTCACCAAAAAAGGCTGTTTTAGTTTTTTACTATTTCAAGACTAGAGACTGATTTGTACTCGTTTAATTTTTGCAGTTTTTCAGTTTAATTGATTATAATGAAAACAGTTCCCAATTTATTAATAAACTTTAAACTATGGTTTTTTTAACAAAATAATTTACCATCAATTTGAAATTAACTTTCTTTTCTAAAAATCATAAACGTCATATTTTGTTCTTTTGTCATATTTAAAAATATATATCCTTCAATTATAATTAAATTCTATAGAATTTGTAAAATTAATAGCTTAAAAACACTTTTTGCATGTACAATTACAACCTGATGGGACTTTGGACTGTTGCAACTAAAATTTTTGTTGAGCCCTTTTGATAAAAAATATTTAATCTACCAGTTTTTCAAATAATTAGGATTATAATGTTTGTTTAATTTTCAATTGTTATGAAGCTGCGTGAATTTGATATCAAATTTAAATACTGTTAAATATAATAAAACTTCACATCTTTTACTGCCATGCAAATTCTTGTTTATATGTGGCATTTTTGGGGGTATCAGAATTTAATCATGCGTGACGTGATATTGGATTATGGATCTTAAATTTTCGTAAGAGCTGAATTTCCGCGAGACCGCTTTTCGATTAAAGTTAAAAATTATGCTGTCGGAGGCAGGCCGCGCCGGTTGGAACTTATGCTTAGCCGATGTGGGCTCGACAAGAGCGGAAATTAGGCTAGGGTTACGAGCGACGACACATTACGAGGAGCCGCCGGAATACGGGATGATATCCCGCGATGCGCAATTAAAATTTACGACGCTTTTACAAAGCAGATCACGTAATTTTATTATGGCCGGTGGCAGCCGAGGAAAATAATGCCTAATGAAAGGAAGGTGGATCGATGGCCATAAAGCACGCATAGCCGGTCGGTCGGTTCGTCGGCCAGCAACACACGCCGCGATTGCTTTCGCGAAATATGGGCCACGAGATGAGCAGGCGGAACAATCAGCAGCCCGAGGCGCAAAACAATTTATGGAGACCCTCGCCGTCTCTTTCCTCCTCATTATGGCAGAGCTTGATGAATGACTTTCGAGACCAACATGTTGTGGTAGCGCCTCGTTTCCTTTTTTTGCTCATAAATAAATAAACAGAGGAGGTCATTTAGTTGCAGAAGTTTTTGTAATCTAAAACTCTTTCCTGTGTGAATTAGTCTTTGGGATTTGCTGGAATGCGCTCCAAAAATTTTATACTGACTATGGATTTTTTTTTTATTTTTACATTTTTTTTTTTTTAATTTTTGGACCAATTTTGTTACTTAAATAATTTAGAATCTTTTTTGACTATTATAATTAATTTATAAAGATCTGCCTTACTAAATAAATTATTTTTAAGACTTACCCTTTAATTAAAATTTTGGCCTTTTAGAGGAAAATTGACATTTTTACCAGTCTCTTAATTACAAACAAACATCGGGTTTATGCTCAATTTTATCAAACGTTTCCTCTTAAGGTAGATTTAATAATAAGCAGTTCTCATTTAAAGCTAAATAAACAAAAAGATAAACAAATTATTGGTATGGAGGGTAAATAATATCGTGTTTATTATTTTGGTAAAATATAAAAGGTTATTTTTAAAGCGGTGACGCAAAACTAAAAGCTCCTTTGGCATTATTAATGTTTGCGCTGTTAGCACGTAATTAAAGTAAGCGCGTGTGTTTAATCAGATAAAGTCATAATATAATAAATCATTAGCCTCGAGGAAAATTTGTAAACGCCGAAATAAATAAAATATTTATACATTTTTCCCAACAGTTAATTTGTCCGGGAAGGTAATATAATTCCGTCTAATAGGACAAATTATCTTTCAGCTTTTACGTTGGATATTTTATAATGTATGTTTATAGATTAAATCGTTTCTTTAATAACTTAATTTCTTCAAAACGTTTTGTTTATTAAAACATAAGACAGTTTAAACACAAAAATTAAAACAGATTTAATAAGTAAATAGCGCTTCTTTGCCAAAATTTCGATTACATGAAAAATTAATTATTTGTTTTCCTTTTTTTTAAATGTAGAAAATTTGTCGAAGATTCTGATTTGAAAAGAAAATAAATTTTATTTTAAAATTTGCAGTCATCCAAATGCAGTTTCCATGATGATCTGTCAATATCCTCGCATCGTACATTTACTTTTTCTAATTCATCTCAAATGATCTTTTTCCGATTTAACATAAATTTGCTTTCATTATGTTTTTCCCCAGATCGAGTTGTTATATTATCAAATTATTTTCTAATTTTAACTGATTTTAACCTAACTTTTAAAAAAAATCATCCATCTCTGTGTTGCAAATCTGTAATGGGAGCATAAAAAATGAAGAGACGCGCTACCAACGTGGTTTCTAATTCATCTCAAATTATCTTTTTCCGATTTAACATTTATTTGATTTTCAAATTTGGCTTAATTAGGAAATATTTAATTTGTCTCAATTCAGCTTTTTCTAATTTATTTTAAATCAGCTTATTATTTTTTAACTTAATTTAGCTTTATCAGTTTTATTTCAAATTTGCTTTTTCTGATTTAAGGTACATTTACTTTTTCTAATTCATCTCTAATTATCTTTTTCCGATTTAACATAATTTTGCTTTCATTATGTTTTCCCCCAGATCGAGTTGTCATCAAGATTATTCTCCAATTTTCTCTGTGTTGCAAATCTAGAATGGGAGCATAAAAAATGAAGAGACGCGCTACCAACGTGGTTTCTAATTCATCTCAAATTATCTTTTTCCGATTTAACATTTATTTGCTGTTCAAATTTAGCTTATTTTGGAAATATTTAATTTATCTTAATTAAGCTTTTTCTAAATTATCTTATATTAGCTTTTTCTTTTTTAACTTGATTTTGCTTTATTAGATTTATTTCAAATTCGCTTTTTCTGATTTAAGGTACATTTACTTTTTCTAATTCATCTCAAATGATCTATTTCCGATTTAACATAAATTTGCTTTCATTATGTTTTTCCCCAGATCGAGTTGTTATATTATCAAATTATTTTAATTAATTTTAACTGATTTTAACCAATTTACTTTGAATAAATTATCCATCTCTGTGTAGTAGCGTAAGTAAAAAGTAAAAGGCGCTTCTTTGCCAAAATTGCGATTTCATGAAAAATTAATAATTTATTTTCCTTTTTTTTTTAAATGTAGAAAATTTGTCGAAGATTCTGATTTGAAAAGAAAATAAATTTTATTTTAAAATTTGCAGTCATCCAAATTCAGTTTCCATGATGATCTGTCAATATCCTCGCATCGTTGATTTTGTGGGGAATAAAATTGTTCCAAATTGAATTTTTTTTTACCGTTATCTTCAATTTTGATTTATTGTTTGTTTATTGGCAGAAAATAAACAAACTGATTGAGAATTTAAGTATCCTCAAACTGCAAAGGAGAAAATACAAGCAAGATTTAAGGATTGCAAAGAAATATTCTCGTGGAATTTGGAATTTAACAATTCTTTTCTCACAGTGGTGAACAAGCAATCAAGATTTGAACTCGTTGAAAACAAAGTGTACTGTTTACGATTTTTATTCGGCGAATAAATAGAAGGTCTTGGGATTAGATTGTGTTCGATCGTCTCTTGTATTGCATTCCAGCCACGGAGATGCATCAAAGAAAGTTCAATTCTCCTGCTGCACAGCCTCGAACGAAGGCGATTCAAGGAGCGTGCCGCTCGCAATTTCAAACTCTCGCTTAGATATATATCTTTTGTTCTTTGAGCTCGGCCAATTGCAGCGCAACAACCAAAAGACGAATCAAGCAGCAGCAACAATTGCGCCTCAAAGAGAGCTTCTCGTTGTTTATGGCTGACCTGTATAGCTTACGAAGGAGGGATCATCGCGGATCAAAGGCCTCGTCGTGTAATGTTTATTTTTGCCGGCACATAAATTTTTGCCTTGAGAGTCGCAGCTACTCTTTGAAGCTTGGGTGTTAAAGAGATAAGCACTCTTTGAACTCTCGTTTGCTTTTAAAATAATTTATATAATCAAAGGCTTTTCACAGCAAAACCGACCAGTAAAAAAAAGGCTAACAAGTAAGGGTGTGAATTACAAACCATTTCGGATCTAAAATTTAGAGCAGCTACTTGATTGGATAAAGCACTATATTTTTTTAACAGAGAAAAGTGAGTTTAAATTTTAAAGGCCCTCTTTATGGATTCTCTCAATTGTCCTGATAAGAACAACCTTCGTACTTCCACGCCAACAATTTTTGAACATTTTCTGCTAAATCTCTAAATTCAACTATCAAATAGGCTGCAGCACGTGACTTAAACTGATAATACAACGTTTGGTTTTGAATTTTAGATATTCTAGAAAACGGAAATAAATTGTTAGTGACTTTGTTTCT